CCCCAGCTGGCCTGGAACTTGCTATGTAGACCAGGCTGGCTCAGTCTCACAGATCCATCTGCCTGCCTCTGCCTCCCAGGTGCTGGGATTAAAGGCTCATTCCTCCATGCCCGGATGATCCAATTTTTTTTTTATTGCTTTACTGAGATAATTCAGTGACCATTAGATCACTTGAAAGTGTGTGCTCCCTGAAGTTCTAGTACAGTTGGACCAGCAACTATCACCATTATCCAGTCACCTCCACACACCAGAAAGACCCTTATGTCTCTCTCCCTTCCTCCCCACCACCCTCCCACTCAGGGCCCTGGCATCCACTAATTCACTTTCTGTCAAATCCCATCAACCCACAGATGGGGAAACTGAAGCCTGGAGAAAAGTGACCAGTCCAAGGTCACAAAGTAGAGTCTCAGGACTCAGAACAGGGTTCCAGATGTTTCTTCCCCATCCCATGGACAGCCTGTGCTCAAATCCCCAGCCTCTCTTGCTTCCTGCACCTGCCCTGGGCGGTCCCTGGGCTGTACTCACGGAGTCCTATCTTGGCGAGGTGTAACCTGTTGACCCAGGAAATCTTGCTTAGGGGATTGGGAGTGATGAAGACCACCATGAAGCTGATGGGGCGGCCAGACCTGTGAGGGGACAGGATGAGGCCAGAGTGAGTGCCTGGCATGGGCCTCAGCCCAGAAAAGACCTCAGATCTTCTCCAACCCATGTTCCTGAAGATGGAGGAAGGCCTGCTCATAGCACATCCAAAGCTCTGCCTAGAGGCTGGTGGCCTGGCAAAGCTGCACCGCTCAGGGAGACCCCCCCAACCGTGATCCAGGGAAAAGAGGCTAAGCCATGCTCAGCAGCCCAGTCCCGGACCCCCAACCCCAGCAATCCTGGCTTCACGTCCAGCACAGGCCTGGTCAACTGCACCACGTGCCAGCAGCACACAGGCCTTGTCAGCCGGAGGAAGGGACCTCACACTGTATCCAGCACCTGGCACACAGCAGTCACTTGGAGGACAGGAAGGAAGATGGGAGGGAGAGGGAGGTTCGGAGGAAAGACTGAAAGGAAGGGACAGAAGGGAGAGTTGAGGTCACCTTAGAGCAGCAGGGACCCCTTGGAGGTTGTATGGGTGACCCAGTCCTCTGAGAAGAGGGTGGGACAGTGTCTCTCACTCTCCAGTGTGTGGAGAGAACTGGTGGAGGAGCAGAGAGGGAGCAGGAGCAAGGCCAGGCCAGGCCAGGGAAGTGGACACTTTGGATTAGAGAATACTTCTCCTGACATCTCTGCACCTGTCACACTGCCCCCACCTTCCCCAACCCAGAGGCCCACACCTTGGCGGTGAGCCCCTCTCTGTACCCCCACTCCATCAGCACTGGCTCCACCTCCTACAGCAAACTTCACAGGCAAAGCCTCCGTCCTGAGCCTGTCACCAAGTCTTCTGGGCCTCACTTCCTTATTTGTAAAGTGGGAAAACTGAGGCACACCCTACAGAGCCACAAGAGGGCCAGCTGGACGCCTTTCCCCGTCTGCCTGCCTACTGGGTGAGCAGCTGCATCAGGCATCATTTCCGCACAGTGTGGGATCCCACAGCTCCTGAGGGGGACCTTATGGGGACAGGACAGTGCTGGAGGGAGGCTGGTTCTATGGAGAGGATATGGGGTACCACTACCTGATGTGAAGGAAAAGGACATGACAGACATAGTGGGTCAAGCAAGCACAGAGTGTCTGAGTACCCTAAGGCAGATCTGGGCTGACCCAGGGTATCAAAAGGGCATTCATTCATTCATTCATTCATTCATTCGTTCGTTCGTTCGTTCATTCACACCTACTACCTGCCAGGTGCTGTACTGGGCATGGCCTACCCTCTTCCACCACAGCAGGAGGCCCCAGGCACCCTCTCTGAGGCCTCCTACTCACCAGCATCCCCTCCCTCCCAGACGCCCCCTAACTTGTCAGGTTTCCCGGGCAGCAGGAGCCGCAGGCGGCACTTGTTGGCCGAGTGGATCTCCTCCTCCTTCACCCGCATGAGCCGCTGTAAAGCCAGGCACCAGTCTTGAGCGACGGTCATGTTCAGATTCTAGGGTTGAGGACGGAGGGGTTCGTCACACCGTCCCCCGGCTCCCCGAAAACACAGCACTCTCAACACAGTGTCAGAACCCTGGGGAAACTGGGTAAGACCCTTAACATGGGTACTCATCCAGCCACACACTGGAAGCCCTCCACCTATGCTCAGGGCTTTCCAGGCCAGAATCAGAGCCCACCCCTTCAGAGAGGGACACCAACCACCCTGGCAGGAAGCTCTGCAGCAGAGGGCAGAGACCAGAGAGGAGTGGCTACCATTCAGAGCTAGAAGCTGTGCAAAGGCTTCTGGGAGGGTCAGGGAACCTCCTGGGCACTCGGAGCTGGGGGCACACGGGGATGCCTGGGAGAGCAGCTCCTCCACCACCCCCGGAGCCATGCCCACCTGGTAGGTGCCATGCAGGGTGCTGATAAGCAGGGTAATCTGCTCCACCACCGCCAGGTCCTTCTGCAAGTCCTACAGCTCCTGGAAGAGACGCGGGGGTCCCAGGTACACCTTGTCTAATGGAGAAAACACCCAACTCAGCCTTGGAGTCAAGGAAGACGCTAGAAAGAAACTAGGCATCTGCTGGCAGGGAAATGGAAGCTGTGTGGCCCCGGAGAAGAGGCACTGAGAACACGGAAGAAAACACGACCAGAGGGAAGCGTCACACCTGGGATGTGCCACAGTCAGTCTGTATAGAGGCTCATAGGGACCATAATACTGAATAAATTGTACTTGGAGAGCTGACAGACCTTCCAAGGGTTGGGATGTGATGGGTATGGATAAGCTAGAATAGCTGTACCAAGGTCCTGTGGTTTGTGGCAGCCTGTAAATAGCAAGCTGTTCAAAGACACACAGAAGACCGCTGTGTACAAGTTTCATGCCCATACAGGACATCTAAGCAGGGGAGTCAGGGTCCCTACTCTTGTGGAACTTATGACTCAGGGGGGCAGCCAGACTGAGGGTTTGAAACAGTGAATTAACTAGATAGTGGAAGATGTTGGGGAAAAAGGTATCAGGGTGGCTGACCAATGGGGACATGAGCAGACCTACAGCTAGGTGTTAATAAAAAGGAAATGCAGGAGGCCCATGGTGGGCATGGAGAACCAGCAGGAGGGACTGGCAGGGCAGCATGGGGAAGGCCTTGAATGCCACCCAGGGAACGTAGTGGTACACATTCCTCAGGCTGAGTCTAAGGATTCCCCAAGGAACGGAGGCCGGGGTCTGGGTTACACTCCAGCAGCCCCTGGATATTACAAATTTAAAGCCACATTCTGCAGCATGAAGGCAGAGCTCCTACAGACTTTCTTACTGAGTGGGGATGCGTAACAGTCAGGGGGGAAGCAGCAAAGGTGGGGCCGAGGGATGGTGAGTCACTGACCACAAGTCCAGGGAAGTGGACACTTTAGATTGGAGCTCAAGGGGCAGACGCCCCCCCCCCCCCGGCAAACCCCAC